TCCTTCCATTTTCTCCCATCCATCTATTTAATTTCTCCTATCCATTTCTCTTACTTGCATTGATAGCATTACTAATGAAAATATTATTGATCTGATAATCCAGAGGCTGAGTACGCCTTTCAGCTAAAGAAAGACATTATTCCCCTCATGATGGATCGTAACTACAGACCAGATGGCTGGCTGGGAATGATAATGKGCTCCAAACTATGGATTGATTTCTCTCAACGACATGGTAGATTGGATCCTTATATAAGAGACTTGCAGAAGGAGCTAGGCGAGAGAGGAAAAGGCAACGCAGAAATCGTTCAAGGTATACTGATCTAGTCTTCCACAAAAATACCTACAGCGCTTAATTCCAAATCGATCACCTCACGAAATCGTACGATTCGTACGTCAATCAAGTAGTTTCCATGACATTCCATAAGCACGTGCCCTTGCAAGCTTTGCGTTTTGCGACAATAATATCATGGAAACACTTTGTTTGACGTCCACTAAAACTTTATTTTATTGCGACAGAAATTTGTACGGTTTCGCGCGTGTGATTGAGCTCGAGAAGCACCGTTTTAACAAGTCTTTTAGAAACTGGAAATAAAAAGAAAAACCATTGAACAGGCTTCAATTTCTTTTAATTTCCAGTCAGTAGTGTAGACGTAGTTGATGCCAAACCCACCGTAGATATTAGTGAATGGACTAACGATGACGTCATGAACTGGATGACAAGCTTTGGTCTTGTCTTCAAAAAGTAAGTATTTTGAGTGATCGTATCTTCAGACTTTGTGATTTGACTTTGTTCAATTCTTTGATAATATGTTACGTTATTTTTTTAGGAAAAATCATCGCGTTTCTGACAAGCTGACTGGTCCAGTACTAACACGACTACATTCCTTGAGAAACGAGGTTATGGTTGAATAATATGATTGTTATACTAAAATCATGGACGAATACCAAGGGAAGGGAGGGGAGGGTAGGGGAACTTGAGTGCCTGTGTGGGGAGGGGATGGTAGATTATTGACTTAGGTTAATGGGGAGTGTGAGACACCCTAGATTCCGTAGCTCCTCTTCATTTGGTGATTTGGCTTTGGAAGTGACCCCCTCTCATGCATAAGCCCTTCTCGTGTATTAAGGGAGGGGAGGGAGGGATGATCTGTTGTTAGTGGGAAGTGACCATCTCATGTATAAGCCCTCCTCATTGGCAGTTTATTTGCATTTGACGTTGGTATGTTTTAGGGGAGGGGAGGGTGGCCGACTTAATTCTTTAGATAAACATCCCATTGTTTTATCACTCGGCGGAAAAGAAAGATGAATTATTTTTCTCCAAAGTTCTGCGAGTTAAAGCATCTTCTCTTTTTGTTTCTACAGAGCCCCGACTTTTATTACTCATCTCTCAAGAATGATATTGGCCTATCTGATGTCTTTGATGTAATGCTCTTCACCGATGAACTGGAAAAATTGGTTGGATGATTGAATTAATCAACACAATCGCACTAAATACAGCAACAAAGTCTAGAACTGAACCCACTTTTCTCACTACTGAACTAATTTATGTCTCGGAAATAGAAGGATTGAACAGCGCGAGCGCACTATTCTAAACTTTTGTAAAGTCTTCGTCTTCGCGCGTTCTGAATAAAGCAGGCCATGCAACCACGGTCACACGCGCGCTCTTCGCTACGAACTCACCCTCCCCCCCATTTCACCCCACTTGCTTCGCTCGTGACTCTAGCTTCGAGTATTAGAGAAGTCGGCTTGGAGCAAGTTTAGCACCAGTACGTACCAGGGCTTTCCGTCCGTCTTCGCCTTGCTGGTATCGTTAAAAGTGGCTTCAGCTCTGGACTAACAACAACACTGCACTAAACGTAAGCATAGGACACCGCAACCAGTCGAATATTATTATAGAATTATAGAATTTTTCATATTTCGTAACTTTTATGGACCTAAGATCCCTGACCAACATGTACGGTGAAATCAAGGATCGATGGGTTATCGCAAAGTCGCGCCTATACTACTTTCATTCCTTCCTTCCTTCCTTCCTCTCGTCCCTAATGATCCATATGACGATACAGTCCCAAATATATTCAAAAGTGATAATCCTTCACTATAAAATAACGAAATTAATTTTCACTTTGAAACAATTTTAGATATATTGTTCAGAGCACGAAGACTTATGCATGCGTAAAAAGATTCAATGCACACTGAGAATTGGAAAAATTCACAAATAATGTAATTTATGTGAATAAAAATCAGAATTTCATAAAAAGTTAGCGATGAGATTCGTCTAACGCTGACCTACCCCTCTCCCTCCCCACCCCTCCTTCGTAGATCTGCCTCTGGATAAAATTGCAATAAAAAAGGCTATGAAATAGTAGAATACTTTGTTTCGCAAAGGTTACGTGTGGAAAATTTTAATAAATATAAAACTATAATGGGATTGAATTGATTTGCCAATCGTCACAATCCGGCGATTGAACTCCAAAATTCCATTCCAGATTTTTTCTTTTCACAAATTGGACTTGTTGGGTTTCCTGTGTTTTTTATTCACCTGATCGATGTAATGTCCAGTGATTAAGCATGTGTCAAAAATTAAGAATTATGGCGTACTTAAGTTTATCTGTCCAAAATATTAGAGATGAAGATAAATAACACGAAGAAATGCTGATGATGGGTTCTGGAAATACCAAAAATGTTCTACGAAAAGCCGAAGAAACACCAGATAAGGATGAAGACCACGAGAAACCAAGGCAACTGGACTACGATATTGTAAACAAAGCTCCCGGTAAACCTTCAAATGATCAAGAAAAAAAWAAAAATAAATTAAAAAATAATGATCCAACACGTAAAGAAATAAAAAAGGATGAAGTGAAGAATTCAAATGATTCAGATGACGAGGAATTACAGACTCCTGAAGACGTTATGCTTAAGCTCTCTGAGAGGGGTTTTAGTGACCCTACTCTGGTCTCTCACTGTCAAAGTACGCCAAAATACTTGGAATATTTTACTTCTATCTACGAAGTGTAACCGGCGGCAAGGCGCTCAGCTATGAATCAGATTGCAAGTGGTTTTGACAAAAGAATTTATTGAAAAATTCACACAACTTTACAATACATGAAAAAAAA